CGCGTAAATTCATAACTTGGGGTTCTGAGAAGCTAGAGAGCTGAAATCTTAGGGGAGTGTTCCATGTCTAAGTGGGTATTAACGAGTTCAAACCCTGCCCGCGGGTAAGCGTGGTACCTACGCACAGGCCTGTGAAAATTTCCTTCCGGGTAAGTTACTTACTCGAGAATGTGAGAAGCTAGAAGACTGGAATTTTGAGCGGATGTTTCCAGACAGTTCTGGCGGCCAGTCCAAAATTCTTTCAGCTTGAAGCATCTGCCGAAAAAACCGATGCCGGTAGCGACAAAAACTGTGGGGAACTCTGCAAAAAACGCATCTTCGCACGGACAGCCCGTGCGTTGGCCAATTATTCGCATTGCATTGCTGCAAAAAACGCATAAAAAAGACCATTTTGAAGTCGTTTTGATTTGCATTTGAATCGGATTTTAAGTCCAGATTTTAAGTCTCGAAGTTTCTTTCCAGCCAGCTTTAAATTTAAATTGAGATGTTTATTCTGGGGAAAACTTATGCTGTTGGTTGCGTTTTTAATTGGTAGTTCGGAAAAGGGTGCACAGCACATAAGTACCAAAAAATATTTCTGATGACAAAACATCATATCAAAAATTTATATGAACCCTAAGCTGGAAGGCATTAGGTTTGCCAGTGCGATCATGTGTATTTGTACTAAATTTTAAGTAAACTGTTCGTCAACTGTATGAATTGTTTGCTGCTTTACACCTACCTTGTGTCATCACCAGCCTAAATCATCTCAAATTTTGCATAAAGAAGAATGAAGAATTTCCTTTTAGCGGTCGCTCTTTGAAATTGATCTAGCTCTTCAGGGAGCGATTTTCCCGCCAAAACCTTTAAATGTCCGTGAAAACCCTGCGTGCTTGGGAGCTGAATTTGGAAATGGAAAATCCCCTTAAAATTTCAGCATTCCAGCTTTTCTGGTTGCCGAGTTGACAGTTTTCCCGCCAGAACGTGCCTGTGCAAGAGGCTCAGATGCGCGCGAAGGTTGATTCCACAGTGCTGAAATGGCACTTGGCCGAAGAACCCATTAGGAAAATCTCAGCACCGAAGCTTGCTGACTTGAAATACCCGAACAGACGTATACGCACACACACAGACACACACGCACACACACACACAAACACACACACACACATACACACACTCACACCATCGGTCCTCACAACATGCGCTTTTGCATTTGCATACATGCAAAAATGCGTATGAGTTTGCCTTGGTTGGAAAATATGCCAGTTTTTTAGAGTCGAGATAAGCTCTTCAGAAAATCTCCGAGAATTTACAGAATATGCATATGAAGGCAAACATAAGGAAGCTATACAGGGACAGCTTTGCGCTTATTATTCTCACATCATTCAGTGTTCACTTGATAACCGGCGAAGTACTTTCTTGCCCTCACTTCTCCGAACTAGCTATGGCAGAGCATAAAAGTAATGAAGACGTCCTAAAGAATTATGAGCGCAACGCGAAGATCGGCAAGGGAAAGCACGGTGTCGTTTACAAGGCCTTGGACAAAAGAAGCAGCAAATACGTTGCAATGAAGAAAATCCGCACACTGGACGGGGAAGAGGAAATCCCAACAACGACAGTCCGAGAGATATCGTTGCTCAGAGAGCTAGCCCATCCGAACATCATCGCTTTGAATGAATTTGTGCTGGACGATGACTGCGCATATCTGGTATTTGAGCACTGCCCGATCGACCTAAATGCCTATATCCATTCGCTTTCAGATGGTAAGCTCATTGACCGGGAGGTCCAGAAGCAGTATACGTACCAGATGCTCCAGGCGATCTGCTTCTGTCACCAACGCGGCGTCATGCACCGCGATTTGAAGCCGGGGATTATCATGATGGACGAGAAGGGAGCCCTCAAGCTTGCTCATTTCGGCATTGCGCGACCAGTCGGCCTTCCGATCGAAGCGTATACACAAAGGGCCTTTACGCTTTGGTACGCGACTCCCGAACTACTACTTGGCAGCACTCGTTATTCAGCGGGAGTGGACATCTGGAGTATCGGATGCATCTTTGCTGAACTGGCTATCACAGAGCCACTCTCCCCAGGCGACTCACAGATTGATCAGTTATACCGTATTTTTTAAAAATTTACAACCCCTACGAAAAATAACTGTCCAGGAGTAAGCAAACTGCCGTATTACAGGACGAAGTTTCCTCAGTGGACCACAGTACCATCGGAAGTGACTTCAAAAATTACCTGGACGCAGATGGTCTTCGAATCTTGCAGCAAATGCTTGTCTACAATCCAGGGAAACGCATTTCCACGAAAACTCTTTTGACGGATGTTTACTTCAGCAGCGTCGACAGAAGCAAACTTCCTGCTGGCAGTTTCGATGGAACTTTGCAGCTATCACGGCTCTGAGGAAGAAGGACCACACCGCTATCCCATTTTTTGTGATCCAGACGTTCTAATTCAAAATTCTTTCTGCAATGCCTACCTTTTTCTCCAACATCCAATCAGTAATAAACCATTCTATTAAATGGCTAGTGCAATGTAGTTATTATTAGCCAGTGGTCTAAGCGGCATGTACAAAATTATACATTCTCGTGATACTTTTTGACACATGTTTATGCGTTTTTATGCGTTTTTGCTGTGCAGCGCTATAGCAGCGCTATAGCGCTGCTACAGCCAG